CTTTATTATTGAATCTATTACATCTCTTCAAGAGCAGACTCTATTAGTTAGAAAACTTGCTCTTTTTCATGTTCATATTTGCAAAAACTCTGATGAACATAAATGTACAGTTCTTCCATCTGATACTGAACATAATTTCCAAAATCTCTTTACATATTACTTTGATCAATCCTTTAAAAAATTCACTGCTCCTGTCTCTGACAAATCAAGTCCATCTATCAAGTCTAATAAACCAGTATAGACTTATCCTACCTTAGACTTTTCAATCTTCTACAAAGATAATGAATATCTAGCCTCATTCAAAATTCCAACTCCAATTAAATTTCTTCATAAACTTGCTAATTCTGCTGAAAAACAATTCATAGAAATCAACAAAACCGATCATAATATTAATCGTCAAACCTACTACTTTTATGAATACTTTAAAGCTTTTCTTCAAGTAGCAGCTTAAAATGATGAAATCTTTAACTTAAGCTATGACCAAGCTATTAAAAAAGCTACAAATCAAATTACAGACATTCATTTTCTAGCCAGAATTATTACCTATTTTGAAATACTTAAACAAAGTAATACAAATCTTTTTATTTCTTTTATCTAAAAAAAAATACAATAAAGACTATTACCCTCAAACTGAATTTCTTATTATTAAGGAATTCAAATATATTACTTCTAAAAAAATTAATAACTTTGATCTTTTTAAACCTATTATCTCTCAATCATCTTTTCAATAAACCTTTCTGCAAGTAATATTAAAGCAGCTATTACTTCTAAAATTATGATATACTCTACAAACAATAGGTCATTTTTAAAGAAGAATAATGTAAATAGGCAGGCAGTAAAGCCTATTTACACAGAAGACTAAGATTATGATAGTCAGATCCAATATACTGAAAAGACTACAGTATCTTTCGCAACTGTGCGAGTCGAGCTTAAAACAGTGAGTGACCTTGCAGAAACCTATTACCCATCCTTGAATTCCAACTCCTTCCCTAACTTCAAAGGTCCTTCTTATTACAATATCTTTTTAATTTATCATAATCTTCCAACTTTACTACTTAATCGACACTTTTAAATTTTCTTCGACATCTAAAAAATAATCTATTTAATAAACTATTTAAAATCTCTATCAATACTATATTTACTGAAACATATGTTTATAAAAACTTAAACAACTGTATAATACCAAATCACATACTTCTCTATAAATTACTTTATTATTAATACTATAATCTACCTATCAAATCATATTGACAATACTTAGTTCCTAATTTATTACCAGATTCTGATTTCTTTAATACTAACAATCTCAATATTACAAATCCTATCTCTCCTATATTACATTTATCTAACAATTCTTTAACTAATAATATTCACTCTCTTTAAACATCTCTTATACCCATAATTTCAATTCCTATAAAAATTAGTTTTTTAAATATTAATAGTCTACTTCAATATTCAAAAAAAAGCTCACTCATAGATATTATCAATCAACACAATTTTGATATTTTTAAATTATCAGAAACACATCTTAGCTCTAAAGAAGGAAAATTCTTTAACCAAAATCTCCAAAATCATAACAGTTTTTGGAGTTCTTATGAAAATCTTCACCAAGCAGGTGTTGAAATTTTTATACATAAAAGAATCTCCAAATACATTGCTAGAACACATAATTATAATAGTTATATAATTGGCTTAGATCTATATTTTAAACACAATTCTATTTGCATTCTTCAAATATACCTTCTTACTTCAGAAAAAAAACAATTACATGCTAAAATTCAAGAACAAATTATTTTACTCTGCAATAATTCTAACTATCAACTCAGAATACTTGGTAATTTCAACAGTATTCCAAACCCTCACCAAGATAAAAACCCTCCAAAAAACACTTTTATTCCAGTATTTCAAATTCTTAAATACTTAATCAGTTATCAATTTAAAGATATATATTGATTTTTTTTTCCCTACAACATCAAACTTTATATTCTTTTACTTAACTTCTAATAGCAGAATTGACCAAATATGAACAAATTTAAATATATCTCAAATTGAATATACTGATATCCTTGAGGATATCTTATCTAAATTAGACCATAAAATTATTATTTTTGAAATCTCTATAACTATCAACAAAACCAAACTCTCTAAACAATATACAAGGAAAAACTTACTTTGAAAATCCTACTCAAAGGAAAATATTGAAAATTATTCAAATCAAATATTATAAAGTCTTTGCCAATTACAAAATCAAATATTTAACATTTTAAATCAAAATGAACTTAACATAATTTGGAATAAAATACTTAAAGCACTTACAAAAGCTGTTTTAAAAAACATCTCTTATAAAAATATTAAAACAATTCAGAGAATTAAAGATGACAAACCTTCCAAACAACATGCATTCTTTTACAGATATAAACAAATACAATATCTAAAAAACCATCTACAATCATCCAACTTTTATAATCTTCTCAAAGATTACACAACCAAATATCCTGAAAATCTTATTGATGAACTACAAACTTCTAACAACCTACACTCCTTAATCAAACAAGAATTTAATTATATTAAATTAGCACTCAATATTTTCTATCAACAACAAACTCAAAAAGAAATTCAACAAAAAATTGAAGATCACAATCAACTTTTTCAATCACAACCTAAAAAAATTTTTTAAAAACATTCTGGAAAAATACAATAGCATACATATTAATAGACTTCTAATAAATAACTCTTTATTAACAGAAGAAGATCATATTAAACAAGCTATTTACACTCACTTTACTGAATACTTTAATAAAAAACCTCTTCAACAAATTCAACCTACATTTGATTATTACCAACTATACCAATCTCATCCTGAACTTGAAATACACTACCAAGACTTATTCAACAATATCTCTAATAATAAATAGCAAAATACTATTCAAAATCTCTCTTTTCAAAAAGCTGTAGGTCCTCTTAAAACAAACTATAAACATATTAAATATGTAGATCATATTGGCCAAATTTCTCTTAAATTATTTATTAACAAATATCTTCAACTTCAAAAATTCTATCTGACTGAAAAACATCTAATATCTTTCTCATTCCAAAAAAATCTTTATGAGACTTTATATTTAATCAAGTTTGCCCTATCTCAATTATAGAACCAATGGAAAAATACTTTACTAAAATCTTTACACAAAGACTAGATTATATTATTAATTTTAATAAACTCCTTTCAAATCTCAATTTCGCCATTACCAAAAACTCTTCAATATACATTTTTATCCAAATCCTTAACAATACTATTGAACACTATAAAAATTTTAACAAAGAAGCTTGGATAATGTTTTAAGACATGTCTAAAGCCTTTGATAAAATCAATATATTTCGATTACAGGACACTTGCAAAAGAATTAGTATTTTTTTTAAAGAAATTTAACTTATTACTGAACTACATACAGACTGTTAAGCTAGAATAATTACTGCATATAGTCTTATATCATCTGTTCATATCAAATCAGATATTAAACAAGATAAAACATACTTTTCTTTTTTTTGGAAAATTTATTATGATCCAATCCTAACCTATATTCATAATAAATATAATAATCATTTACTTAAAATTATCTTCTCTTCACCACTTGAGATTATTTCCAATATACCACCTTCTTCAATAACTATACCTCTTATGGCTTTTATGAATGATACTGTTTGGCACAGTAAAAACTCTGAAACCCTTCAACATATCCTTAATGATATACAACAACTATATAATCTTAATAACATTGAAATTAATCCAACTAAATCCAATCTTTTATATATCTCTCAAAACAAAAACAAACTAAATATTACTATACCAACACTTTATTATAATAACCAAATAATACCTTTACATAAACCACATGAAATCATACAGTACTTTGGTATCTACTTTGATGAAAATGGTTCTACTAAACCAACCTTTAAAATGCTTCAAAACAAAATTAAAAACTTTTTCTTATTAATTAAATATAAAAAACTTATATCTAAACAAATTTCTATACTTTTTAATATAAACTACAACCATCTTTAGAATATCTTTTACAAATCTTATCTATATCCAAAACACAACAACAAAAACTCTTATAACTACTTTCAATTACAACAAAAAAAATGCTTCATTTAGCAAAAAATACATCTAATATTCTTCTTACAAACTTATTA